GATAGCCTTTGAAGTATGATAGACACCAAAACCTTACAAACGACGGGAACCAAGCTGATAGCTCTGTAGTTGAAGCACATTATGCGCTGGCCCTTTTTGAAGAAGCGGACGACTATTTACTCATCCCAAGATGATAGAACCTACTCTTTCAGCCAGACTTCTTAGAACAAAGTTCTCGAACCAGCGAATAGCAGCCAACTTTACATAGGACGGGTGGTAACCCATCAGGGTCCGGTGCTTTATAGCTCTGCAAGAGCCGGAGTTCTTGTCAGATTTCCTGATGAGAAGGAGAATCTCTGGGGACAGACCACTCAACACCAGTGAGCGCTCGAGGGGAAACAGATGGAAGTGGTGGCCAGCAAAACTGCAAGCCAAAGTGTTCAACCCATCGTTCCAAAAGTCGTTGAAGATTAGTGATTAATAGGCTATCCTCTTCGCAGATCGTTTCGCTTACTCCAGATCGGAAACCTTCGGTGGCTCGGATAGGATGGGAAGATATTTTGGTATTACCTTCACACCACCATGTTTCACGGTAATTTTGTAGACCCCTGTGCAATTATCATCTAGGGATCGTCATTCTTCACTACAACTAAAATCGGCCGGGACCGAGCGGCGTCTGTCCATCAGCGACAAGGAGACAGCGGTGATCCAGCTTTTCGGCGGGTGATGGGTGACTACAACTATCGATGCCTATCAATGACTAAGGTTCACTTCAATGTGAGCCGCGGTCTACTTTGAGATTGCGCGTCGCAATCCAACCACACAACGTGTAGTCCAAAATTGACCCTCCAATTAGTCATTTACCGTTGTGCCAAGCGTTGCCCGCCATGACCATGTCGCCCAACGAGTAGAGGTTTCGGCTACTATCGCAATGGTCGCAGGTTCGAGGCCTGCTATCTCCACCTGATGAGATGAAATGACATCGAAACGCGTCGTGGTTGTGCAGTGTTTTTGGGCGGGAAGCCCCCAATTTCCATAAAGCATTTTTACTTCGCATCCACTGTGAATTCAAGTCGTCATCAGAAGTTGAGATAAGCAGTGTTGACAGAGAGGCCTGGTATTTTGCTAACGTCATGGGGTCTTGTAGGTTTTCTACACCCGGTCGGTAGTGCGTACGCCTAGGCGATCCTCCAAAACGCATGGATAACTTATCGCCAACCAACTCGTGATCGGAGTCCAGACAAGTTTACCAGTACGATTGGCAATCTGTTACGCTTCCTCGCCATCTCTAGCATATCGCTGTGTGGTCGACCTGGGACCACTCTTGCGTTTGAAAAGGCGGTCGCCTCATAGCAGTCTGTCTCTTCGAGTGTCGAAAATTGGTGCTCGAAAGAAACAAGCAATGATCAGAACAAAAAGTCAGTAGTCTCTCTCCATTGTCTGATCGACTGCTACCGAAACCAAAACTACCCACAAGATGGTGCTCGTTTGTTGGCTGTCGACCCACTCATGCATTTAAATCTCCGACAGGAATGACAATATCAGACATTTTAGCGGAACGCAGACCATATAATTGTTGGTAAAACCAATCCTTGACTGCATCCGGGTTGCATTTTGTAGGAGCTTAGGCGGAGAGGACAAATGAAGCGCGTTTAACATCTCGACGCCTAGTTAACTTACATGAACTTCGTAGTCCGATTGCACATAGTTGACTGGGATTCAGTCAAACAGAGCGGACTCAGCCTTGTCACTCATAGCAACTCCAACACCAGCCTGGCCAGAAGTGGCATCCTCTGGGTCACCGGAAAGTTGCAAATCGTATTTGACGTCAGGTTTTGTAGGTGAGACAATTCTGACGACGGTAGTGGAGTCTTGCAATCTAATTTCTGAGAGGCAACTGATGTCTACCGTGAGTGTCTCAAGAGTGCGGGTCAGGCATGCTTACCGTCCGATCTGCATCAGAGTGCGAACATTAAACGCTGCGAGACTGAATGTAGAACCAGATCTAAGAAAAGCTAGGGCTTCAGTGTAGTGTGAAAAGCCTGTGGTCGCTGGGCATCGAACACCAAGTGTTTGACTCTGATTTCCGTCAGGTGCGACCAGCGAGCTGTTGTTGGCGGTGACCGGGGAGGACAAAGTGTAGTTGAATAATGGGACGTTGGACGATCTGTGAGTGGCGATTCATCAGTAGGGACGGTAGAGGAGGTAGACATAGCAAGAGTGAAAGCAGTAATATTGTCCATTCATGATTCATCAGTGGGCGTAATACTACCCGGTTGCCTAGGCCGAAGTAGTGGGTTGTCTTAAGGGGCCCTACGCCGAGCCTTTGATCAAGGATCTAACCTGCAAGGCAGCGGGGCGATATTAGGGTGTCGCCATCCGTTGGGAGTCGGTGACCAAACAAGTGGTTCATACGCCTTTAGGTCCTGCAAAGGACCAGGGGCCCAACACACCCTGAAGTTACAATGCCACTCAGGGAGAGGCAAGGGGCAATGACTTTATTTAATGACGAGTCACATCCGCCACGTCTCAGTGTTATTAAGCGGATATATGATCCTTTTTATGGGGAGAACGCTTGCCAACACGAAAACCCACCACATCCTGGAACACTGCCGCCCAACCATTCGTTGAGCGGATTAATCCTGAACCACCCAGCTTGCACTACGACGAGGATGTTCGGCCATCCTGTAGAGCATGGTGTATATCTGCACAACTATCTGTGGAATGTGCATTTGCTATGAAGTCGGCACGCGATTTCTTGTCCTCTACCTTTGAAGGATATGCGTTTCATTGGCAGAATCGATCGCTTGTAATCCTTCGACTATTTTTTCTGGGTGTTACTTGAAGAGGAGGTACACAGTGGGCGTGACTGCTGAATAGTGCATGCATGCGCTACAGTTTATGGCACCTGGCCGAACAACCTGTTCGTTGCAGTTGTGGGGTTTTCAACGTAATGGCGGTAGTACAACTGTTTTCGAATGCAATAACTGTATTCACATCAAGCTGGATGAGATTTTAAATCTGTTGTTGTCTCTATTAAATCGAAATCGAGAATATATCATCGTAAGTATAGAAATAGAAAGTAACAATGGTTGTGTTATGGATTGACATTTTATTAAATTCTGTTTCCCCATACGTATTTGACTCTGCGAAGAAAGCACGTTTCGACAACTCTCATCAATAGAAATTCATCACGTCTAAACTCAGCCAAACAGCTATCACACGCCCCGAAAAGCATTGTACGGCCGTTTCATATTTTCGTGAATCGTCAGCAGTGCGCATTCGATCTGACCCTTGTAGGACTCGAACGCGCAACCCGACTGTTTTCAATCTTTGATTGTGACCACTGAGATGCAGGGGCCGGCAACGACCATCGTGACTAAGTTACTGGATGTGATATAGTGGCGCTCACTTTTTACTGACTTGCACCTGTGCAAGTGGACAAGGTAGCCGCCACACTACTAGTGACGAACTTACCAAACTTAAGTCGCCAACTAACTTTAGCATTATAGGCAGTTTGGTCTGCCTACCGATTACTGAGGAGTAGTAGGCCGATTCTAACGGTGTAAGTAGCAATTCATTGCATCTAGACTCAGTCACACGACCATCACATACCCGGGAAAGCACTGCGCGGCCTTTTCATCCTTCCGGGCGTCGTAAGCGGTGCGCACGTTACTGCCTCATTGTAATTGTGGTAGAAAATACGTGGCATGAACTGAGCGAAGACTCTCGAACAGGATTTTAGAGCATTCCACATAATATGATTGCGAGTGGTCCATCCTGCCAATTAGCTCTATCGCTCAGCCCATCCCAGACTGCTCTACATGCCAAACTTGTTCACAACATTTAACGGGCAGAGCAGTACTCACTTGTCTCGTTGGCTGGAACCCAGTCTATGCCGACAAACGGGGTTGATGGCTAGCCTCGCATGCCTTGGTGTGGTCTTTTGGTTGTTGCAGATTTAGATTGATTAATCTGAAAATTTGTTTCCCTTTACACTCAGCATCAGGGACTATGTGTCAACAGCTGACGAAATTACCCGAACTATATGAAATCAGAGTATCCTGTTGAAGTATCTCTCCTTATTTCAATCTTACAATATTACTGATTCGTCCTAGCAGCTCATAAGTCAGATAGACCAAATATCAATCCGGAAAAGCACGAACCGGTTGTTTCACCCTGTTGTGCCTCCTCGATGGTACGCAACCTCCGGCTCCATCAGGAACCAAACCCATGACCGCTAGCAGTCTGCGCCAACTAAGCAGCAGGTTATGCTCCGCATAGTAGTGAAGGATGCGTCGCGCTGTATCCCAGCTGACTCAAGTTAGGACGGTCTACCACCGTCCCCTTTGGTTCAGTGGCACAAGTTGCTGGCTAGTTGGCGCAAACTTCTAATTTTCATGGGTTCGGTTCGTGATAAAGCCAGAGGATACGTTACGATAGGGCGAAACGGCCACCTGGTTTGTGAGTTGCTGAGATGACTAATAAACTTTCATCAAAATCCTCCTAATATTTATTATCCTGAACTTTTTCAAGGGAATATCCTTCATGTATTTGTTTAATTCGGACACTATGACGGTAGGGTCAACGCAGTACGGGATATGTGCTCCGGTTCTGCACGATAGCTTCAAAGTTCTGCTTCCCCTTATGAGGAAGAGCTGCTTCTGCGTGGCTTCTGATCTGTTCAACCACATCCCATTTTGGCCCGTCTGGTCCACGTTATTTAAGACTCCTTGGTAACGTTTAACTTGTATCTGTTATCTTCTTTGGATATTCAAATCGACAGGCGTTTTGCACCCGATTAAATCCCTTGGTTTTTGCGTTATCAATCACTTTCGTTCTGTTCTCTTTTTGATCGTTTGATGGGATTTCGTATGGGTATCTTCCGTAGTTGTATTCGTGCCTGTTTGATCAAAGTACCTTTGTCTTTGATGGGGGGTGATATGTGATCTATGAACTGAATTCCGCTCTCTTCCTAGTCACGATTGTCCTGCTTAAGCTTGTATGCCAGCCGATTAGCTCATACTACTTGCTCTGTCTTATCCTGTTTGGTTCAGCAGAATGGAGGCCTCATACAGCAGTTGATCGTCGCCGTTATAATCTGGGGGCCCCTTCGTTGTTACCCCCATGGGCTCCGCCCACCTGGTTTTTTGCTCACAAGTCTGGGTCGCGTTTTCCGCCTGTTACTACCACGCCAACTTCGAAAAATTCCGCTTCTACTCCTCAACATTCTTCGTACGTGCCCAAATACTCCAAACCGACTACTCGTCGGCCCTCCGGCTCTAGACGACGTATTTTACCTAGTAAGCCTAAACGACCCACAACGTGGCCCTCGAGGCCCGGTGTGCCCACCACTTCATCCTCTCCACTGGGACGAGCACCAATTACGTCTTCTTCGTCTGATCAGAATGACGAGACGACTTTCGGATTCACCAAGCCTCTAGACAGACTGGGTTTGTCAGCTGTGCCTGCACTCTGTTTACTTGCTGTGCGCATTGTCATCGCACTTACCTCCAGCCTGCTAGGCTGGGCTGTATAGTGTGCTTTACATGTAAACCTATACTCTTGTGTCGGTGTTATGCACGAGATTTTTGTGTTTTGTCCCTGCGGACTTCACATTCTTGTGTGTCCTACGGCTTGCCGCGTGCTCTCAGGCAAGTGTTCAACCCCAGCATATTGTCTTTCTTCCCCTTTTAGATCCTGTTCTGTTACTGTTCCATAAGTTAGTATCGTGTATACAACTTGCTTCTACCCATCGAACGACATCTGGAGTCTAACCTGAATTCATGCTTGCGCTGCATTGTTCATTGAGTTCACGCAAAGCATTGAGAGGAGCTTATCGCTTTGTTCATGACGTCTGAAATATCTAGCTAAGCCCTTCGACCATCGATTGAGTTCGTTAACATCACGACCCTGTCCGTTAGGGATCCGAGTTAAACGTGTTCATACGTATCTTCACCACCAAGATTTCAGTTCTGCTCTGCTCACATTTTGCACGAGTCTTTGCATGGAACCCTCGGCTTGACAACTTTTGTCACCTTTGCACTTCACTCTCTGCACCCTGTTTAAGTTCAGCGCTTACTTTGTCTCACCATTTCATATCCAACTCCCTCATTCCTTGACTGTTCACTCTTCATCAGTGTTGTCAACATTTCCGATCAAACAGCCTGTGGCGTTTACCCATATTTTATGTGTATACATTTTCTGACTACTGTGTATTTTATTAGTAGTTAAAATTATATCGACCTTTTAACTGTCCTTTGTTCCGTCAGATAACTCGAAACCGGCACTTGTCATCGCAGTGTCCCTTCTTATTTTCCTGGGGATCCCGCTGATTGTTCTCATCATCTACTGTGCTGTGCGCTACCGGTGCAGATTCACCTTAACCTCTGCGCCAATGGTGCCTACGAAATCGGGTCTTCGAAAGCCGCTCGACAAAGGATTGCTGCCTTTCTTACGACAGTGTTGCAGGTTTGTGCATCTGCGTTCATCTTGGCGGTGGTCCACCAGTAGCTGTATCTTTGTGTTGACGTAAAATCCCTTCACCCAAAAACGGTTAGGCACTATCGCATTTGCTTAGGAAAGTCATACACTCATTATAGAACGTGGGCTATCGCACTATAAAGTCTTATCGGCAGTTACATACACTGTTCTATCTGCTATTTTCATGTTCAGCCCGCTGCGTGCTGCAGCGGCGTATTCATTGGCAATTATAGGGCAGCTCTCGCCCTACTACCTGTTTCATCTGGTGCCTAGTGCTTCCCATTCAACTTATCCCCTTGTACACGCGCAAATGCAGCCTGAACGCTTGTTTCAATTTTGCTACTAATTAGTCCTCATTCGTAACTTCGGAGGTAAATGCGCACTTCGCGTGAGCAGTATCACACTCGGATTGTACCCGAATCGATGTAAAGCAATATATGCCAACCTCAAACAAACCGGATCGCTTCACCTAGCAGTGCACCGCTACGCCAACACGGCAACCAGGCTCAACTTTCTCCCACGTTCGACTACTTTTGAGGCAATAGTATTTGAATACGTTGAATGTGGAGCCACGAACCTACTCTCATATATTCACCTCAAATGAATCAACACGGTTTTTTGCTTGGGCTCTTTTCTTTGTGTTTCTGTGCTTTCTTTAACAGCACCGATTATCTTACCTGCGGGTTTTCTTCGCCGCATCGCACCGATATCAACTTTAGTCACTTAATTATAGTATTTTGGAAACGATATATAGAGGAATTGGGAGTCTTCCGGGTACTGAAGGTTTCCTCTTGCTTTGATGGAGCCTTTACTAGAAATTAAGGGATTCATTCACCGGTTTTTGCACTTGGCCGCTTTAAATGGAAGTAGATTTGCCTTTGGTTATTCAAAGGCAAGGTCTAAGTCTCTTTGCAGCGTATGATAATCTTTCTGACAACCGATCGCCCACCATATCTTGATATCGTCGGCAAAAAGGAGGCAAGTTGACTTGATGACAGGCGAATTGTCCTTGATACAGACCAAGAATAACTACATACGACGAAAATGACAAAATACCACTTTGTTTCTTTTGACCGATACTTCGTTCTCAACTCGCGGCAGCCTTGTTAGACGTTTTCGTCACGAAAATGTGAGCTTCATTTGGTCGTAGGGATTTAACCGCGCTTATAACTTTCCTTTAGGGAACTCACTAATGAGCACAGTTTATATCAGCTTCTGTAAACTCGAATAAACACCCATTCGAACATCTACGCTTTCTCCCATAGTATGTTTCCAACTTTCTTCCGTCCACACTTTTGCCCACTGAGCTTCAGTGCCCTTCCACTTTCACCTTTCCGACACTAAAAGGAGATAACACGTAGTATGGATCACTATGATCTCCTTACATTATTCGCTTCTCTTGGATAGCTTCACTGTGCAAACGTGATTGTCCTGTCATTAATTGGTGACTTCCTGTACTTTGCTTTATTCACACATTTACTCGATTTTGTCCTTCTCAGTTGATGTGGGAGACGGGCGTAATGCTGCAACGCTGTTTCCACATGACCACACGTCAATGAACCTGAAGTCCATGGGCCATTTTGACATCGTCTGCCCCTTTCGCATAACATTCTATATTCGTTTCAGTCATATCATATATGTCGAGCATCCACGTGCACAGAGTAAGCCTGTCTCCTTTCGAACTTTCCACAAGTCTCGGAGCACAGCAGGTTTCGTTAAACACAATCAAATCTTAACTCATTATGGCATGTTTCCTATCTGCAAGCCATTTAACACAATGCAACCCCATCTCACCTCTGTGTTTTCTGACCAACTCTCAGTTGCCCTCCGTCTTTCACCGAATTTGTTACACGTCCCTTCCGCGGAATGCGCTCGTGGCCTGTTGCTGCTCCACCCCCGAGGCTACACACGCGCGTAGATTCTCTTGGTCAGTTTCCAATCAGATAGCTCTCTTTTGTAGATATGACGCTGTGATTTGCTCCGCCTCTTCAAACCTCGCGTGATTCAACATGTGGTTGCATCCTAGCATCTTCGCATGGTGTTCCACACATATTTACGTCCCTCGATATTTACTTAGTTGTGCTCCAGTTCTGCCCGCGTGGTGTGGTCTTGATCACCGCTTGCACCCCTCCGGCAACACACTGCTCACCATAAAGCAGAGAAATCCATCTTTATTCGATTACTATGTATCTTCCTTCACGATCACCTCCACTGTACACATGCCTAACACTTAATTCAATCTAACCTACTTCATACACTGGACCTGATGGTCACTCCTTACATACATTCCTGGTGAATCTGTTCACAATCTAAACCCACCTTATGTACTCCGTCATATTCCTGTCTCTCACTATAGCTGCCATCCTGTCCATCCGAACCTGATTTTCTTTTTCTTCTACCCGATCACTTTAAACAACTCACTGACACAAAACCCCGGTGGTATGGCTTTGTGAAGCTCATCCGCCCGCAGGAATACTTGGTTGTGAAGTTATCCTTCCTGCTTTTGTTTGCAGTGACTTTTTCTTCGCCCCGCATGTTCTTTTCACCTCAGTGGAATTTTCCCTTTGTGCCTTTCTAGTGCCGTATAATTTTCGGTTAGATTGGTTCATCTTGAGCATCCGCTTGATTGAACACAACAAGTGTTGGTCGCTGATGGTCAGTACTTTTGGTTGCTGGTTAGAGGGAAAGTACCAATCAATTTTTGTGTGTGATTTAAGTGGCTGCTTCTCCGTTTGCACGAATGTTTTTAACAAATGATCCCTTCTGTCTGAGTTCATGTGATTACTTTCTAGTCTTGTTGTGAAACTCTGTTGTGACTAGCAAGTCCATGAACGTCAGTCCAAATCACGAAGCCAACGAAGTCGATCCAAGTGCCTCTGCTTTGGCTAGTTGATAGCATTCATCTCACGCAGATTAATTTTTTGTGTGGTAGTGAGCACCGGTGGTGGCGTGAAGCCGGTGCGCTAACGCTAGATGTAGGCCACGTGAGAGATTCGGGTTGTTCTCCGAGTTCGGTGCATTAACTGTGGATATTCTTTTAACAGTGTACTTGCAACAACTCAGTCCTTCGTTTTACTCAAGTCGCAACTAGTAGCTAGGACATCAGTACCGAAATATATCCTCGCAACAAGTAGTTAGGTCTTTAATCCCGTAACAAAAGTTAGCAGAGGTAAGTGGTATCACAGCCTTATAGGGATAGGCCTTCCGCTTTCCTCCGCGTTGTGTTCTCGAAAGAGCAAGTCAACATTTCTCTCTCTGGGGAAGCACTGCATGCTTTGCTGCCGGCCAGCGCTACCCACGCGTTTTTCGATTTTGTTGGCTGGGATTACTTTTCACTTCATTGCCAAGCCAAACGAACGTGTAGATCGCTTTCATGCATTGTGCCATCTGAGCTATGGTAAAGTGAACGTCGAAACACCTTATGACCACTGGAGCTTGCACATCCAGTACGGTTGCATCTAACTCGTCACCAGTCATACCTCATCGTACACTCGTTCTAACATGGTCACGAATTCCCTCAGGTTTACCGCAGCTGAGCCATGAGTAAGCTAGAGCGGAAATATACAGTATGCCTCATATATATCCATTTGTAGTGTACTCTTTGTACCTATCTCTCAACGCTTCGGTCTGGCTGTAACTGTCTTAGGTGAGTACCAAAACACTGTCTACGCTTGAGCAAGACGTTACCAACTTCCCATTTCTGCTTGATTTCACCTATATGTTCCACCAAATAGTAGCCTTTCCACACTTTATAAGTCTTAGCGCTTCCGGGATGTTACCCAGGGCAGTTCTACCGGGGAATCATTCTCTCATCGTCTCTGTGGCTCAACACCTGCTGTGCCACGCTTGGGGATTCCCTATGAGGTTAATTAGAGGCTTCAACCAATTGGACTCGTGATTTCTGGTTCGTGACATCTTAACCGTTACCCATCCAGGTTCCACCAAATTCTCTTACGCTAGGCATTTATTCTGCTGTTTGTTAAGCTTCCGTTTGTATTTACCGTTGCACCGCTCCTTAGCCGCAGTTAGACCTTTCGCAGTGCTCATGCGATGCACGCTGCTCGTCATCCGTCCAGGTAGGCATCGGTCACCAATCCCGAAGGGGTGACGATTACGAAATACCTCAGGCGGCTGCAAAACCACGAAGCTTTGTACTAACTTAACAATATCTAATCAGAGTGTTCAAACCAGTCTTTGAAGTCTGTGTTGGGGGCAAACAATCTTAACATATTCTAACCATTTCTCAAACGTCAATCCCAACGCGCAATTTCGCAGTCAGTGGGATCCCGTAACTTAGATTGCATACGCATGTCACTAGTTCGTTTGATAACCAGTTTTGTATGTAACTCATCCCGCACCTATCTCATACATAGCCACGATGTATCGTGCTTCTGCTTCTGTGGTTGCTAGATACATAGATTCAAATCTATTTCGAGTAAATTCAGTTGTCAGTCTTCATTCCCAAACTCTAAACAGGCATACCACTCAAAACTGTGACTTAACACCACGACGGATATTCCGATCATCTGCAATCACGATATATTTCCACCATAGAAAATGTTTTTTCTTGTGGTTTACTTGGTACTCTCTGTATTCCTTCTATTCCGTGTTCAGGCAATCAATTCCCCGAAGCTTTACCTATGATAGCCTTTCCATCGGTCTCCATAGTGAAAACTTCGTTTCTCCCGAGAAACATCAAAGAAACGGGACAACCTCAGTTTCAAACGGTCTCATACACAATCACAAACCAGTTCATCACGAAGAAGCATCAGCGAAACTAGGCAATGGTGAGCAGTTGGTCTCATGGCTATCTGATATTTTGTGTCTCCCTTCATGTGCTCATTTGTCTGACAAGGTTTTCATGAAATTCCGTGGTTCTGGAGGCATACTGTGTTAGGTTCTTCCTTCTCTAAGAGATGATCCTCGTAAAACCTGCGGTCAAGTTTTCCTCCAAATCGTTTTGTTTTGCTTTATAAGTGGGCCGATGATCTTTGTGGTCTGCTGGGTTTCCAGCACTCCGAACTTTACATGTTTCCTTGCCTGAACTACCGCGTAGCAGCTACAAAGTAATTTATTTAATTTCTGGATCTGCGCTTTTTGGGGTCTCCGAACGACGCGCTCGACCCTACCTTCATTTTGGAATACGCCGGGGTTCAGTTTGCTAGCCACCAACGAAATGTTGGCACTAAGGAGACCTCGTGTAGCACTCCAGAAGAACGACTATTTTCTTGTGCTGTAGAAAGTTTATATGAGACGACGAAACCTACTGGAGGTGTGTGTGCTACTCATTGTTGCAAGTGGTGTCGGTCTGGGACACAGTCGCTGTGCGTTGTGACCAGCAGGTGTCCATTTCTCGTTGGCCAGCAGTGCCTAACGTTCAGTGAAATGTCCAGCCAAGCAACTAAGGCCCAAGCACTGTGGTGTAGTGAACCCGACAACTTTCATTCGCTTTCATTTGTTAATGAAGTTAAGGAGGTCTAAAGTGGTTGAAACGAAAAACGCAAATATCCAACTGAAAAGGTGTGACAATCGTTTGCTTGGAGGTGCCGATGTTTACAGGAAAGACAGCACCGATTTTTCAAACCCATCATACCAAATAAGCTGCCAGGCCACTGTTTCTTCAGAATTGATCCGCAGCTGTGAGCGGCACGCAACAACGTGCCCCAACCTTTCGATCAACTGTTTTATGTTTCTATACGCCGTTACCACCTTGTTAACCGGAATCCTTACCCAATCTTATACCTGCGAGTCTTTCTTAATCTTTGATATTACCACTGAATGGTCGTTTCTTGCCTTATAGTCCTCCTAGGGTAGGATCGGTGGCGGTATTTGGTCAACATCTATCCATGGCAAAATGATCTGTTATTCATAGCGTGCAACTTCACCTTGCAATTGGTCCCACGTCTCATTCATCGCTGCTCCATGATTCGAATCCCATTGATCTTGGGCCGCGACACTTCTTTTGCCGTGCGAGCCATTTGCATTACCCTTGATTGCGCGTTGTGTATGTCAGCTTGTTTCTTCTGGTTGTCTGTACCATGTGATCGTGGTCATTTCTCTGCAACATTGTCTGGTCTTTCCGGACTCTCGAATGTCAACACGCTCCTGTGACCCACCAGTTGCTGTTTCATAAAATAGTTCTTGACCTTCATAGAACTGCGTCTTAGAAACCGATTCCATTTGTTCTCTGTAAGTCTGTTGAGTGACTACTTCAACATGTCCTGTTTAATTTAAGTTGCGCTCTAGAGTATCAGTACGATATCAGTACATCAGTACGATTAAAGAATGCAGATAGGTGACCGAAGAGGTGAGTCGTCTTATTGCTTACTGTTCAGTAGCTCCGAGAGTAACAGCGAAGTCCAGACAACGAGTGAGGTTGGTCATTTGTGCCGTACAAGAAGTTAAGTCGCTCTTCCATTGTAGTCGATTTTTTCTTGTTACTTCTTTTTTGTGTCTTACGCTTTCCGCTTGAGTTTATTGGTTTGCGTTGGCTGTTGGGTCCACTCCACGTCTTAAAAAAGAGGCATCAACAGTATGCCGGTACACAGTACCGACGCTTCGCTGCCGTGCAACCACAACCGGTCGTACGTGGGCTAAGAATGCTGCGAGCGTCGTCCTGCCCCTACGCAGGTTCGAACCGACGCCGTCAGATCATAAGACAAGCTCGTTACTTTTAGGCTACGGGCCGGTACCCCACGTACACCTTGTCTGTTACGTTGAGCTACGTTCATACCAGGCCGCACGAATTTCGGATCGTCTATCCGACCTGTTCAATTATTTTCAGTGGTCCTTTCATCGATTTTCCGTCCACCAGCCCCAATTTCGTTTTCTTTATGGTGTTGGCTAGCTGCCATCGCCCAGGTTGGCTGGTGCGTACGCACACCGGTTGCTCACCGCTAGCCAGACCAATGTGCTCTTTTTCTCTCGGATCTACTTAATAAATCGGAGCTGAGACTGAGACTGTATTTAAGAGCAAGTAGAAAGGTTTCTGTACAACTCTATCAAATTACGAAAAATCAAAATTTACTTGTGAATTATCAGCAGTTATGTCTGGTCCGTTAATCGTTTATCCGTGTTCGGTTAGAAATTTGTACTAGCGTCATTATTTCCGGACATACAATGTCTTCTTTTGGCACTGTATGTGCATCGTTTCACAAAAGCACAGGTTTCCAAAATAATCGTCGATACGGGTTTTAAAACACTTCACAGAATCGGCTTGTATTAATCCTTCTGGTAGTGTATTCCATAAGTTTACGATTCTTCGTTCGATACAAAGCTGATGTGATACTTTGTTCATGCTGGGGACCCTGAGTTTGTAACGATGTCCTCGGGTGTTACATGGTTCTCGCAGGTGAAATATTGGCCGCAGAATGGGGAAGTGGCTCAAGTGTAGTACTCGATGGGTCATAATAAGGTTAATTCTTACTCGGCGATAGGATAGTGTGTAGAGTCCCAGCCTTTCACAACGTTTTTCATACGGAAGCTTTTGTAGGCTTGGTATCATTCTATATATTGGAATATGTTTGGAACCGACTGTGATTTCATGATTTCAGAAGGTTTTGTATACAAAACCGATTTGTATACAAAACCTTGGTATCATTCTAGTTGCGATATGCTGTATTTTCTCCAGCTTTTCAGTTTCCCATTGGGTTATCGGATGGAAAGCTGGGGCACCGTATTCAAGGATTGGTCTAATGAGCGAGGTAAATAGACGAGGGACGGTTTCTTCGGACCATGTGGAGAAACTGCGTCTTAATGCCCAGAGCATACGAAGTCCCGCATGGTACAATTTCTCTGTATTTTCTAGTGATCTTAAATCATGTCGTGAGAGAACTCCTAAGTCTCTGACAGATGTGTTGGGATCTAGCAACTGGCCGTCCAAGGTGTATGATCGAGTGGCTGGACGTCTGGTGATACTGATGAACTCCGACTTGCTTGCGTTAAGAGGGAGTTGCATTTCAGTGGACCACTTTGACAGTCGCTCTAAGTCATGCTGGAGGCGAGCGCAGTCGTCCTGGTTTTCAATGATCCTCCAGATTTTTAAATCATCTGCAAACAGGGCACATGGTGACTGGAGCTGCTGTGGAAGATCGTTGATATGAATGAGAAATAATACTGGCCCAAGTACAGTTCCTTGAGGCACTCCACTGGTCGATGGGAACCATTCTGTCAGATAGTCATTGACCTGTACTCTAAACCTTCGTCCCACAATAAACTCTTGTATACACTGAAGTAACGTGCCACCGATTCCGTATGTCCTCAGTTTACGAAGGAGTACCTCGTGGTTCACTCTGTCAAACGCCTTACTAAAGTCGATGTAGACCACGTCAACATCCTTCTGTTCATTGAGAGCTCGAACCCACTGGTGGTTTGCTTACATCAAGTTGGTGATGCAGGATCGCCCTTTCGTAAAGCCGTGTTGCGCTGGCGTCAATACGTCCATCGATTCGAAGATCGACAGCAGACACATTTTCACAACCTTCTCGAGAACTTTGGATTATACCGAAGTCAAACAGATCGGTCTATAGTTCTCTATTTTACTCGGATCACCACCCTTGGGAAGCGGTTTAACTATCGAGCATTTCCAGTCGTTCGGGACGGATCCTTCAGAGAGCTATCTATTGAAAAGATTTGTCACGGCTGGTGAGATGATAATCGATAGGGACTTGAGTATGAGTGGGTGAAGTCCGTCTGGTCCGGGGGCTTTGCACCATCGAGATTGACGAGTAGCTGGTACACTTCGATTGCATCACATTGTAGGCTGTCGAGCAAGACTTGCGCAACCTGTGCCGGTACTGGAACAGCCGCCGGTTTACTGGAAAATACAGTGAGGAAGTGCGTAGCCAGGGCATCCGCGCGCTCCGCGCTTGAAATGAGTGTCTTCCCGTCTAAGCTCTCTAAGACCGGTAGGTCGTTCCCAGGTTTCAGTTGACGTTTCAAGTAGGCAAATATTCTTTTGGGTGCAGTTGTGGCCCAGGATGCTAGCTCATTCTCGAACTGCCGGCGTTTCTTTATCTTTGCGGCGTTACATAACTTACGCTGTTTCTTGTACACCGTGTAATCTTCATCACAACCCCAGCTGATGTATCTATCCCAAAGTTTTTGGATACTTAAGGGGAACGAACCGAGTACAGAGCGAGTTAAGCTTCCGCTTTATAAATGACCACCAGGCCTCAAGTGACGCATCAGTCTGACTTGCGGCTTGGACGAGTCCGTTGAAGTCCGTCTTCCAATAGTTGAATGTCGGCTTCCATTGATTGTAATATGGTAACGACAGTTCTAAGCTTGCTACAATAGAGCAGTGGTCACTGTTCGCCAGAGGTTCGATGACTCTGATCTCTTTTAGCTTCTGCTCGCAGCTCGTAAACATTGGGTCCAGACAAGATGCCGAGTACGGAGTTACGCGCGTCGGTTGGATGACATTTTGCGTTGCCCCGATTTCAATAGTCATTTTAGCGAATTGAGCCTCAACGTTACCATGACCGGGAAGAAGTCGAACATCTGGCCAAATTATCTTAGGTAAATTTAGATCCCCCATCAGTAAGAACTGGGGGCGGCTCATGTGCTTCTGTACATGTGGTATCCAATCGCAGCAACGGTTTAATGGGCTCCGGTAGATAACCCCCACTATTAGTTCTGCGCGCCTGAGGCGGATTGTGCACCACAATTGCTCGCATAAACTATCCTCGCTCCGATAGGTACTGATAAGTTTGCCAGATAGTGACGATTTTCTGTACAACAGAACACCACCGTGAGCCTTTGATTTTCGGTCGCACCGGAAACAAGAGTATCCTGACAACACGACTTCGTGGGGTATGACGTCGGAGTTCAGCCATGTCTCTGCAAGTCCTAAAATATCCGGCCGCTCCGAGACAGCGAAGCGGCACAGTTCGTCAC